TGTTAAATCCCCCGCTCCTAAACCTTTCATCAGATATGTCACCTACTGTAAGTTTACTGTTAATGAATAGGATCTGGAACGATGCTATTTAATTGAGCTCTGCATCTTACTTTATTCAAGTGAACCGTTCTTATTTGTTTACTGTCAGCTCTACTCCATATTGGAAATTATTAAAAATTACATATTGCCAACGACTGTCCTGATATTTCTACGTCATCCGTATTGTAAACAGTTGACAGCTTTTCTGTGCGAATCAAGCTTCGATGCATAGAAATTGAAGCGGGCGAAGCCTGAAGGGGAAATGCCTATGGTGAACCACAATATTTTATAGTACCGAGGCTTCACAGCTCACTACGCCTACTGGACTCTGTATGCTGCATTCTCTGTTCAGTTCGTAAGATTCCAAGGTCATTTACCTTGAGTTAAGTAATCAGTGGTATTTATGCGTGCTACCTATTGGGCAAAGGCGTAGCACTTTGAAAATAACACGCAGTCTGCCGACCTACTTCACCCTTTAAACCGACTCACTCTATGTAGAGATATTTATCACCTCGAATGAACTCAAAGACGGCAAACACACGTTGCACTCCGAGTTCTTTGTATAGATCCTACTCAACTGATCCTCGCCTAACTTTAGAGCTTTGACAATGCTCATCCTCCTACGGCTTTTCAGGCAGCAACTTATGGGGCTATTTTAGTTCTATCACCCATAATGTCGTTATTTTCTGATTTTTTATTATAAGGTTGTATTTTTAATATTTCCCAACCTCAATTCCTTGGCCCGTATGTAAGCCAAAGGCTTCGGTTTTACTGGGTATCGAAATCAGAGCACCACCTGGTACTGCCAACCCAATTACTCACGGCACTGTCCTACTCGTATCATCATAGTTTTTAATAAATGAGTATTTTAGTTCGCACTGTGTTGACGGTTTAATTGGCCAGAAACTGTATACGCTGTCAGCCACTGGCTCTCGAAGGGTCCAATCAGAACTCGAAAACCACGGCGTTCTGATTGCCCGTAAACCGCGTTTCGACTAATTGCTTACCCGAATAACGTTGCATTTTTGGGCGGTTAATTTAATTTAGTCTGTGGAATCGAGTGTGGGCGTCGCTCCTCACTCCTCTCCAACATAATGGTCTGGAGTCAAAAAACGGTGCCCGAAGACAGCTGATGGGGGCCTTTGGGTGACAGGCAAAAGTTGCAGCAGTTTAATGGCTGTCAGTCGCTTTATACGGACTGTTTTCTCGGAACCCATATCAACTGTGACGGTCCCTGGACATCGCAACCGGTGTTTTCTCGGTTGTTCAGTGGATAAAACTCATATGGGCACAAGATGAACCTCTTCTGGCGCCCTCCCCGCTATTGTTATTTGACTTTGTTCGGAAGTGTTTTTTTGAAATTTCCTAAGGGAAACTGACGTGCCACGGACCTTTAAACAATTGTATTGTGAAACAAAAGTCTTGTTGGTTTCACAAACGCCACATCTACCACTAACGGTATCATCCATGGCCGTTTCAAGAACCATCAAGCTCAATGCCATCCAACGGTAAAGAACACCTAACTGCACGAAAATACATGGTTTTGATTTGCGAGAGGAGACCTAATCGCATTGCGGCTAGCCAAGATTGCCGATAGTTAGTATAAAATGTACACAACACCTACGTACTTAATTTCAGATAAAACTAGCTTGAATTACCTGTTCTATTAAATTCGATTTACCGGGCCGCCACATAGCTCTTGAGGGCCTGTTGGATATTCGGTTCGTGTTTCTGTCACGCTGCATGCGCTCAAAGCAACCGTTAATCCTGTGCGTGATAGACCACGTGCTGCTATCAAGTCACCAGGTCCACACACGCAGTCAGATCAGTTCTGAAGGTTAGATACGAGACGAGTTCGGATAGGTTGATTATAAAAAAACAAATGCGGTCGCTTGTCCCCGTGATCGCATCTGGTTCCCTAAATTACTTTGTTCGCCTGTATTATCGATGGTTGAGTACTTAGCTCAAAATGTCTGCCCCAGACCTCAACCTCGCATTAAATTCCTATCGTCTTAGAAATTAATCGTTTCGATCCACTTAGCTTCTGAATTTTCTATATCTCCTGGCGATCTGGTAGTCTCAGTGGGCTATAACGGGTATTGTGTCTCATTTATGCCCATCCGTGGAATGCAGTTTGTTTATATTGTTACTTGCCTTGCACACTTTCCAACTAAAAAATACGATTCTGCTTCTTGTTGTCTACCAACGTACTCCCATAGATTGGCGAGAGTGGAAAGACTACCAAGGAGTTGGAGAAAATAATTGCCAAAATGAAAAAAGTGCTTGACCGCACATTGGCGGATAACGAAGAGCTAAGAAGCACACCCGCGGTTGTTTCGCAAGAGCAGCTCAACAGACTACGGTCGGAGAAGGCGGCCCTTCAGGCAGAACTGGAGAAAGCCCAGGAAACCGCCGCATCCACAGTCGCCGAGGAGCGCCAGAAGTCAGAAGCGCAAACTGCTCGCCTCAGCAGGGAATACGAGAAGCTGCGAAAAGAACTAGAAAAGGTATGACCTCCAGGCGGTGGGTCTGATCTCTGCTACACTTTAAGACAACTTTTCTCCACCTGGAATCCACCGCTAAACCTTCGCACTGTTTGCATATATTGGGGGTTTGGAAGACACGCAGACAAATAATTGGATAAAAGGATTTAAAAGTGGGTAGAATCCTACATTGGGTCTTAGACCAGCACATGAAAGCCCCAGTCTTCTGTAATACAGGACCGGGATGTAATAAAGAGTAACCAGTCTGGATAGTACAAAGGAAAAGATATATCAATAAGAAAAATAAAGTTTATAAAAGTAGGAAAACAGGAATAATTATCTGCATAATTTGTTTGTCAACGAAAAGCGCGCCATAATTAAAATGTGCAATTAGGCAAATATCGTGAAATAATTAAATGAAAAAAATTATTAAGACTAAAGTCAGTTATCTAAAAAAGGCTTAAACTAAAGTAAGCTAAATTCACTTAAATAAGAACTTATCGAAAATTAAAATAAAGGTAGTAAACATAATAATGAACTGAAACTTGAACCTCAGTATAAATAATTTAAGTAAACCAAATAAAATAAACTAACGTTAAGTTGTTGCGCATGTACTAATCTAACTCCAGGACGGTAAGTTGGACCCCAGGTTAGTTGAAGTAGATGACCTCCTAACAACCAGACTTTTTTTCAGGAATATCAGGAAACCCAATATACTATAAAGTATAAGTAAGCAGAAAATGTCCAAATTTGTCATACCCAATAAACCATAAGCTAGTAAGAAATGTAAGTAAATTTTTGTGTTTATTTTTGGCACACGATTTTGTTGCGAAAACTTTAGATTATTGAAACAATTTATGGGACCCAAAGT